TATTATATTGAACAATTTGTAGCAGAAATTAGTAACTGTGTTCAGTCTGGTTTGATGGAAACCTGCCCGCGAGAGAATAATAAGAGGAAATTAAGAAATGTTCCATAATGCTCAATGGTCCTTCGTATCATGCTGTCATTTGAAGATCTCCATTCAGGGTAATATACAGTGTCGGTAACACAGGTGGCTGCATTACGATTTCATTAATTCCAGTCAGGGAAACATGTGGCCTAGAGTGGAGATGTTTCCGGAACCGGAGTACCTCACATGTGACTCATCCATCCATTCAGACGGAATAAATAACAAGAGATCAGAATGTGACTTCTGTCCGTGACACATCTGAATAATTGTAGTCGCATGGTTTGAGAAGTTTTAGCAACAAAGCTTGTCGACCTTGGCAGACCCTGACTTCGGGAGGCCTGAAGGTTCGTCACAAGTCTTGCTATGTCTTCGGCGGATGAAACCATCTCTCCTCTGTTTCCGACGAGAGGCGTCGTCCTACCGCCATTTACAGAGCCCTCGTTAACTGCAGTTTCGTCCCTTGCACTTGTGAATTTGCCTTTAACTCTAGCCTCAGGGTTGTCCAGAGCTGTGTGACAAAGATATGAGAAGGACAACGAGCTTCCTGTCTCGGTGTGTCTGTGTCCTGAACCCCTGCCGGAAATGTATGTTGAACCTTGTAGTGTATCGAAGTCTTAGTGGTTCTGTTGCCTCCATCTTCATGGCTGTGAGTGATAGGTCGGCAGCAAGCACATCTGAAACGTCGGGAAACTTCTACTGCGAGATTACACCGCGCAAAATCCCAGAAGACAGCTGGCGCCGTGAAAACTTGACATTTTCCTTAAGCTCACTCAGAATGAGTGGACGAGTACGGATTTCCAGGCAATGCTCCAGCCAGGACAGCAGCCTTTGATGTTATTATGTGGAAAAGTACCACTCTCAGTCAATTTCCTGCCGGGGATATAAATATCACAGACTAGTGATTATGAACAAAATTTGACGACAGTCGTTTCATCGAACCTTTTTATTCATGCTGAATTTTGGATACTAATTTCTTCACGTCCATAGAACGAGCATTCGGAGATTAGACTGCTAATGTACACATGCAAATAAAACTCTTTCTACATATAATATAAAATAAGTGGCTTCAACTATTTTATCATGTATCAGAGTACTTCTTGCGCGAGTGGTTACATTGGGATGAGTGAGGTTTTTTTTTATTTTTTTCTAATCTAAACCCGACAAGAACCCAACTACGATCAAGTTGGAACAAAATACACAAATCACGGTTCAGAGATACTCAAATGAAGACTGGGGACTTAGCAGGCTAACATCAGAGAAGTTTCGTTTCAGAAACCGATCACCATGTAGGGCACGTGTTTCGACACACCCACCCACCCCGCCTCAATCAGAGAATAAGCTTCAGGAATTGAGAAGGATTTGTTCCAGACGCTGAGAACAAGAGCGAAGTAAGTGACCAGTGGGCTAGAAACCGGCTTTAGAGAGGATCAAATGGTCAATTTTGATGTCCAGTTACTTGGCTTCAAAACTCACTCGTATGAGTTGGGACTGTAAACAGAAATGTTAGATTTTAATATTTCTAAATAAAAGCTTGTCTGTCACGTATCGGACGGACAGACGGACGGACAGAAAAATGAATGCAGTGGAGAAAATCAGCAAGGAAGGCAAGCAGGAACGCGAGAACAATCCCAAATACGGATCTGTCGGCTGTCGGCTACAAACCCTTGACGTCATACTTCATGATCATCGGCTTTAATGTCATCCACGCCCATCAACACCCTTGACTTATTTCCGATAAAAGAAACGCGTCTTACTTAAAAATCAGTCGCCGGAATGCGTTTCACTGCGGTGGAGTCTTGAGAGATGTCCGTACACCGATTCACATTCATGTGTTTACGTTACTTAGAGCGCTTCCATTCTCCAGGCGTAGAAGCTGGAAGAGATTTTAAATTAAGACGAGTTCCTCCTTCCAGGAAAAGTAGGAGCGCCTGCCTGAAACAACACGCGGGCTGCTCACACCAGGGTGCAAAGGGGATTGAGGTTACTTCTCTGCGTGGGTTAGGGTCCCGCTCTCTCCCGCAGAACAAACAAATTCGGAAAGTCGGCACTCAAGTACATTTTAATCTTTGGGTTCGCTGGTCTTCTGTAAATATACAGAAGTATCATTTTTACCTATTGTTTTTGTATGGGTGCGGAACTTGGTCGGTCGTCGTCGTGTTCAGAACTGAGTAGGCGCTGAGAAAACTACCCCGTGACCCAAGAGGGAGGAAGTTGTACGAGGGTGCGAAAACATTGCACCCTGAGTTTTATAATTTGTTCTGTTAAAAATATTGACAAGATTTTTAAATCAAGGAAGATAATACGTGCCACGAACTTTAGTGTTCCAAAAG